TTCCAAAAGGCAAAAACACTGTAAGTTGGCTGTTACCTAAATATTGACGTTTACATGCATTGTTAATCAACGTATCTCATAAAGGATTATGTGATCTAGTTTAAAAGAAATATGACCTTTCTGTCATGACAGTAGCTGCTTAAATAGTATTTTCTCTGTGTACCATATTTTACAGCCAAAATGTCGTGTTATTTTCAATAATATTACCAACCCAGTGTGCCAAAGTTCGTAATATAGGCAGGTGCAAATAATTTGTGAAGATGGGTACCATTTTAGGCAAGGTTTATATGTTTGGATTTTATTAGACACGATAAGAGCAGATATTTCTACATAAATATTTGATATGTGTAGAATAATATGATAAAATGTAGGCAAAATTGGTGAAAAAGGCAGAGACCAACCCGTACAATAGATATAAGATAGTTCAATAAGAAATAATTTCAGAATTGCTGTGATAAAAGGATTTTTCACTGATTTCAAAATGGAACGTTATATTGCAAGATATGAGATGATCAAGAAGAAAATCAATTTTTAACCCTTAGAGTGCCAGGCAAAAAATATAAGTAACGCTCAAAAAATGCCGATGATTTTTCCCGAAGGTCGCGCTAAAAATGCCGAGCGGGATCTGGCGATTTTTAGGTTAAAATTTCGTAAAAATCAAATTTTTGATATTTCGACCAACGAAAATCGATGTATCGCAGACCTTTCTTTGGACACCTCTACCAAGTTTCTACGCCCAGCCGTTCTCTCAAATTAGTGGCGACAAAGTTTCCAATTAAATATTTAGATTCCCCCATGTTAATCTTATGGGAGAAACTCCAACTTTGATGGCCTGTGGGGCAAAGCCCAAGGATGCTTATTACAGGAATTGGTGAAAGGGGCGTCTACACAAAAAATACTTTATTTTGACACGTCGTTTGTAAAAATCCGTCCATTATTAACGGAGGAGTAGTGTTTCGTAGAAATCGCCTTCACGTATTATATATAAGGATTTTACTTTAAACTACATTATACAATCCGTATTGTGAACATTGTTAAATTCTACATGAAAGAAAAGACATTTTAAAAGTGATATTTTAATCATCAAGACAGGAATGAACTTGAACTTAAATACCTCAAGAAGCTAAGAATCTATCAAGACGGTTCCATCAATGAACTTGAAAATAATGATTGACATTCTCGGTGAGTTTCAATATAAGGTTTTTTTTTTTTGACAAATTTACTCTCAGACATTGAACAACATTGTATATTAAATTGAAACTTGTCTTGTTACTTCTTTTATATAATTTATTTATGTAAAATATTTAGCTGATAAATCCCAACAATATCGATTTTGAATTGTTTCACATCTTTGCCTAATTTAGGCTGGTCCTTCGATTTATTTCTTTATTTTTTTTCTTATCTTCAACTACCTTTCCCCCACAGAGATAAAATAAGATTTGAAGATAAAATTTTGAATAAAAGTTCAATTTGAAATATGTAGGTCTATATATTGATGAGTTAAGTTAATTGGGCCTATAAGGCTGTGCTGATTAAAATGTCCAATGAAGATTTGTCCTTAGTTATTTAAACAAGATTGATGATGGTTACCAAATTTGGAGTGTCTGTCTTCACCTTTGTACCATATGTAATAAATAAAATAGGGATTGGTTAAAATTTGGTACTCTTTTAAGGCACTTGTCCCTAATACTTTGATTTAAAACAATTTAAAATTTAGATTACACTTTGGGATGAAAGTCAAGCACAATGTCCAATAAAATGATGTTAACACTGTGAAGAGTTGGCAGGATCTGGGGAGAGGCAATGGTTGAAGCTCAGGAAGTCCATGTCCATTGTTGAAATGATGTACAGCTGGTTAGTTCACATAAAAGACACTTGCCACAGTAATTTTGATTTTCTTTGGATAATTTTGAAAAGTAATACTATATTTAAGATGTTATTATTACGGTATATTGCTATTTTCTTACAATTATATATTACTAGCAGAGTACCCGTCCTTCGTACGGGGTCGGCATATAAGTACAAAACACTTATTGCAGTTATACTCGAGCTTTGCATTTGCAATGGGGGAGGAAACAGTTTGATAAAATTTGCTTCTTTAAATTTACCGTATACTATAGTATTACACATCTACCATATCCAAAATTTTCTACCACTTCACCTAAACAATAGGGAAAAATAGATTATTAAAAGTTTGCAAAATATCACAAATTATTCATGAAATTAAAAACATAAACATAACTGTAAACAATCCTACTTTGACAGTTCTCATTGCGTATCACAGTTTTTTTAAAGCTTATAGTTCAAATAAGCTGTTATCATAAATGCAAAAAAATAATAGTGCTGCACCCTGTTGGTAAATCTTATAACTTTTTAATGCTTTTGCATATAATAGTACCAACTTTTTCTAGTTGAAACAGCTGACTAAATTCTTTAATTCCTTTTTTCCTTTTAAATATGAATAGTCATAAGGTTAACATGTAGAACTGCATAGCCACTGGGGCGGAGCCCGAAAGGATTTTTGAAAAAAAAGAATATGCCTATATGTTAATCGGGAATGTGAGCTATCATCATGCCAAATTTCAGCCCAATCCGTCCAGTCGTTAATGCATGATTGAACTTCAAACAAACAAACAAACAAACAAACAAACAAACAAACAAACAAACAAACAAACACACAAACTTTCACATTTACAATATTAGTAAGATTCTAAGTAAATGATTATTGTTGGTTTTTTGATAAGTACAGGATAGATATGGAGAGAATTGGCATAAATATTATATTGTAATATAAAATAGGATGATATTTCTGCGGGGTGATGGGATATTATATAACAATGAACAAAATTGGAGAAAATAATACATTAACAAGGAGAAGCATATTAAATAACTGATAAAACATTATCAGGGCCATTAACAAACATTATGGGAGAAAATATATAAAATAATAGAGAAATTAATGTTAATGATGAATGAATGACATGTAATATTACCAGTGTTGGGAAGTAGCGCGCTACAAGTAGCGACGCTACAGTAGCGCGCTACTTTTTTTGTAGCGTTAGCTGTAGCGTCGCTACTTTTAAGATTTTGTAGCTTTAGCTGTAGCTAGCTACATTTTTAAAGTAGTTGTAGCGGAATTTTAGCTACTTTTCTCGCTACATTAACATTGTTTGAGATAGTGATTTTTACCATAGCCTCAACCTTACGTGAAACAACATCTTTCAAACTGAGATTTTCAAAAAAAATTAGGCCTACTTTCTTGGCTTCATACAGCTGATTGCAGCCGTTTCATTCCCTATTACAACGTTGTGTGGACATGGAGGCCATTAAATGAGTGTTATCCACATTTTTAGCTCTCATTTCCTTAATTTACTACTCTATGATTACTGTCAGATAAAATAAAATCGCTAGATGCAGACGACGTTTAAACGTTACCGGTACCGGTGACAAGACTGACAAGAGAAGCTATTGAATCTAGCTTGCAAGTGATTGACAGGGAAATTAGTAATCAATTTAGTTTCTTTGTTATATCGATAGTGTTTTAACTTGGATTTTAATGGAAACCAACACTAAACCTAAAAATAATAAGAAATCTGGTATATCAACCCTTGCTTCAGCTGTTGATTGTGGTTCATCATCACAAGCCCTTCCTTGGTTAGATTACGAAGATTTTTCAAAGGTTTACTAAATTAACAAAGAGGAAATTACCTGATGAGTTTTAAGATATGCCTAGACTACATGATAATTGTAACGAAAAAATCTCCATATAACATGAAACTTACATTAAAAAAAATAGCATAGTTTGCTCCTGCTAACAGCTCTTGTATTGGACTATTCCTAGGCTATGCTATGGTTTAAGACGAATACCATTCAATTATTAGTAATATATCTGTTTAGTCCTTGCAAGAACAAAGCTACTGTAGCCAACTTCTTACATAGCCAAGTAGGCCTACATGTTATTTTTACTTTACAAATTTCAACATGTTTAAATTAAAAGCCGATTTCAGGATAAGTTTCTGAATACTGTTTTCTGTACCAACTAGGTTGAATCACAATTTGCCCTATGCATAATGACAATAAAGGATGATTTCTTGACATTGAAAAGTGTTATTCATAGAACAAGTAACTTATCACTATGGTTAAAAGTTATAGCAATGTCGTTTTTAACATTAAAAGTAAAGAAAGGCAATAAACTTTAATTTCAATAGGCTAGGCTCTGTAACACAAAAATGTATTTTTAAATAATCGTTTTACAGTTTTAGTGGTCTTAATTGTTGATATAAGACATCTATAAATGAATCTTTAATTAAAGAAATAAAATGAGCTTTTAAAATATAGTTTGGTTGTATGTCCTTTGAACTTAATGACATTTACATATAAGATGCTTAAAAATAATGCAATATTTAAAAATAAGTACTAAATATGATGGGACACCCAACTATTTGATGCTGTTGTTGTAATGTTAGGTTTATAATGCCAACAAATTAAATACAATCTAGGAATAATTTGTTTTCCAAGTAATGTTAGATACAATACTGACATTTCTTGTTTAAATGTTTGTTCAATAAAAATGTTGTTGCAATTAATTTTACATTTTCCTAATGTGCGTGGAATAAAAAGTAACGTCTTTGGGAAAGTAGCTAAAATTGTAGCTGTAGCTACATTTCATTGTAGCTGTAGTTGTAGCTAGCTACTTTTTCGGATCTGTAGCTGTAGCTGTAGCTAAGCTACTTTTTTTGAAATGTAGCAGTAGTTGTAGCTAGCTACATTTTAAAAGTAGCTTCCCCAACACTGAATATTACAGACTTTTAAATTCTCAACCATTCTTTTGACATGGTAAAACAATTTTTATGAAATAATGAAAAATAATTAATTATAAACCTTCTTCTAAGGACAAAACAATTAGGCCTACCAAAAAGGATTTTTTGATTCATGCTAATATTAAACAGTAATCTGAAGATAGTTATTTAACTATTAGGTTAATTATCTAGTATACTTACTGTGCTCAGTTTCAAGACCATGAAGTTTTATTTTGTTGGCTTCGTGTTGGGCTTTCTTCTTTAATCTACAAGCCCTGTAAATAATAAGCTGTTGTAAAATAAGGTAATTAAAAATTGTTCAAAACTAGAGCTGTGCGTGCATGAAGTTTGATTTGTAAACTGAGCCGAGCTTAGCCTAAAATCTTGAATGATAAAGCACCAATTTATAAAGTCCAGCTTGAGCCGAGCTTTTATTGTGGCGAAATTGTTGAAATTGCAAAACAAACACGTCTGTGACAAGACTCCATGATTGAAAAAAATCAGATGCTTATAGTGATGACATTGGAATGGAGCCACATTACATCAAATTTATGGATACTCAATTATATATTGCTTTTTACTGGTAACCATGTCAGACATGCTTCAAAACTCTATAGATAGTTTTAACTTGATGTTTTATTCAATCTTTTTTTAATCTTTTATCAATTAATGATTTCTCAAGTAGCAAAAATCTCCTAATAAATTACAGTAAATCAAATTTTGTATCATTCTCCTCAAAACAATCAAGATGTAAATTGAACCCGAATATTTACCTTGATAATTCAAACTTGAGTCAAGTGGAGTACACGAAATTTCTCGGATTGATATTGGATCAAAACCTAAATTGGGATAAGCATGTTGAGCATGTAATTGATAAAATGTCAAAAGGTAGATACGCCCTGCGACAAATGTCAAGGGTGTGTGATATTGATACTTTAAAAACCATATACTTTGCATTAATAAATTCTCACATATCCTATGGTATAGCAATTTATGGAGGAACTACTCAGAAAAATTTGGATTAAATTCTTCATCATCATAAAAGCACTCCGAATTATTTTCAAAATTAAAAATAAACGCCAATCAATGAAACCATTTTTTTCTAAATTAGGTGTTATGACAGTCTATGACTTGTATATTTATGAAACTATATTACATGTAAAAAAATTAAACCTCCAAACTAATAGTACAAATATTCGACACTATAAATTAAGGCATACTAGGCAGGTTGAACGACATAAATTAAAGTTTTTTGAGAAGAAATGTAGTTTCATTGGCATAAAATTCTTATTTAATTTACCTAAAGTTATAATAGAGGAAAAACGTTTTGACGTTTTTAAAAAAAGATTGAAAAATTATCTCCTTTCATTGTCTTTGTATTCTTTGGATGAATTTTGGAATTCAAGAGAAATCATAAATGATAGTTTGGAAAGATGATTTGATTTAATTTTGTTTTATTTATTATTCTTAAGCTTAAAATTTGTTTTGAAAAGATAATGATTGTTTTAGCGATAAGTAAAGCATAATTCATCTTAATATTTATTTGACGCTATTCATTGTATAAAAACTTGTACTGTGAATGAATAAAGAGAATTTGAATTGAATTGAATTGAATTTTGTTGATAAATAATCAGTGTAATTAATAAGACTGTAAATGTTTGGCTTTCATTTTTTCAACTAAACACTTACACTATATTGTTGTAGGTATAAAGGGGTATTGGCATTTAAATTGAATTGGTTCCTTCTTAAAGTGTTCACAAAAACTGTTAACTGTAACTTTATGTTAAGTTTTTTGTTTTGTACAGGACTATAAAAAAAAATATTTTTAACCCATTTGCATCGTCTTATTTATTTACCTAAAATCCCAGTATCACTGAAACATTAAAAAGAAAAATATATATTAGAGTATTTTTTATAATGGTTTATAGTATTCTATAGCTAAAAATAACAAAAAAATGTATAGGATATGTTAACACAATTTTTTATACTCCTAAAAAATAGGTGTGCACCTGCCTGTATTATATAATTATCAAATCATTCAAGGAATATAATATTTTGTTGAACTAAGTTATTATTATATATGATAGCTTAATAATGGTATATTTTTTTTAAAAAAACAAAACCTGAAAAATGACGTACCAGTACGTCAGCCGTGATACTGTACATCGTACAACTGCCGTGATACTGTACTTGACGTACTGGTACGGCATTTGATGCAAATGGGTTATCAGCCTAGATAGATTTTTTCTGAAACAATATTTTTTTTAAACGAGACTTTTCTTTTGATATGGGTGATATGGGCGGGAATATTCTCAGTGGGAGGGAATTTATAAAATGGGAATATTGCTCGGGATGATTTATTAACGCAGAAAGATTCCCAAAAAATGAACATTTTAAGATTTTATTTTTAATGTTTCAAACTTATTAACAGTTAAAGAAACTTAAAACTATATAAACTAAATTAATTCATTCATTTTGATCCAAAGAATTATCATCCGATGCATTGATTTCCTGTAAAAACAAGTGAGAATTCATGGAACCAAATGGATTTTAATTAAGCCATTATTAAAATTTCAAGCATATAAAAAACAAGCATCTTTATGAAGTAGTTTCTCTTGGAAAATCATATTCAAACACCCTGGTCAAGTAACCATGAGGGAATTTTTTTTAGATTTGGAAATCTCGAAGGAAAAAGGAAAGAATTAATATATTTTTTTTATTTATAAACAATTTTCTTGTTTTCTACTTCATATAGATTGTTTATGTTTTGTGATTGGTTATATTTTGCATTTTGAATCATGTATTGACTGCATATACTTGACTCCTACTATCTGAAGTTTTCTAGTTTATTCAAACTTAGGTTGGGTTTGTATATTGTTTGTTGTAATGAGTTAGTAAAGTTTTTTACATCTGAGGGCGGGATCAGATTTCTGATACTGAACCGTTGTGTTTTGTATTTCCATTGTAATGGAAAATGTCCCCAATAAACATTTAAACAATCTGATGTGTTTCAAGAAATATTTAAGTAAAAATCCAATCAGGTAAATGGAAATTCCTTTAATCAGCAGATTTGCTGCAGCAGGGGTATTTTATAATAGGTTGGTTTATCTGGATAAATCGTCCTGTGTAGTGATAATATGAGGAGTTCTACTGTAGTGTTAAGAATTCGCCATACATTGCCATCAAACTTGATTTTGTAACAAACTACTTTTCCTATAGTGAGCGCATAACATGCAGACAAGGTCGTATGCGCGCGAAATACGTTGGCAGCACAGGCTGTAAATCAGCTGGTCAGCTGTTGTACTGTTGTATCATTAAATGTAATATTATTAAAAGTTCACTTCTGTGTAAAAATATGTCACGTTTCTTGACCAATTTATTTGTTTTATGGTAACTGTAGGAAAAATATAATGCGCAACTCGAGTGCAAAGTGCAATTGCTCACTAGTTGCACAAATAACTATTCTTTTCCACTCTAGTTATTGGTCAGATCAGAAATTAGTTCTTTATCTAGTTTTAGTTGAAAATCTATCAATAATCTGTTCAGTAAAAATACAGTAGTTCCAAGCATTCTTAGCTTATAAAAGATATAAAATAGTTTGTATATTCTACCGAACTACAGGGTGTCCTGGAACTCCCTACCAATATTTTAGGGCATTGTTCCTAGGTAAGAAACATATTTAATTATCATATTTAAATTCTCCGGAAGTCCTTAGTTACTCACATAGCCACCATTTTGTTTTTTCACTTATTAATATTTTCCTGAAAAGTGGTTAGACATACGAAATTGAAACTTTGCACAAACATTTATGACAACTAGACAAAGCTACAAAAAAATATGACAATTTTCCAAATTCATAAAACAAAAAGGCGGCAATTTATAATTTTGATTCTTAAATACCGGTGGTACCTAACTCAAAAACCGTTGATTTTGTAAAAAGGATTTTACAAAAAATTTTACAAGAACAACTTTCTTAAGGCAATTAAATTACAAATCGATTGACACCTTAATCTTTAAGATTGGACGAATATTAACTGAGATGGCAGCTTTAGTGATACGTGACCGCTGGAGGTTAGTTGCAGTGCATGCCTCGGCATGCGGTCACGTATCCTAATGCCATGTCTCAGTTAATATTCAGTCGTTAATATATTAATATTGTTCGTTAAAATGTCAGTCGATTTTTGGGCATTTTGCAGTAATATTTATTAAAAAGTTTTACAAATCTATCTGTAAATTAACTATACCTCGTTATATATTTTTTTGAAGCTAAATATATGCACATTATGATTCAGCACAAATAATTAGGTTTTTATAACTATTTTATCATAAAAAAGTACTTAGAAAGATAAAAAATACAAAATAAAAATATGAAAAAAATGTTTGTGCCCCTATTTTTATGATTAATTGTAACTAAATTAAACATCTGAAATAGCCATTTATTTCTAAATATTATAGCAAAAAAGAAAATATGATCTTTAGTATGGTTAACTTAATTTTTAGGACAGCCAAGAGTCATAAATATGATCAAGGAATAGTCGCAAAATCACTCACTAGGCCTATTACAATGACTTTACTGCCATTACACATAACCTTCAAATGAATTACTGCAAACACATCAAACCAACAAGTTAGTAATCACTGATTATTTTGTACATCTAAATATGTAGTCTAAACAGATAAAAATGAGTTTTCAATAAAGAAAATATATGTAGTAACAACTAACTTGTAAACAACAACAACAACACGCAACAAGGCAACGAAAACATTGTCTTTGTCTCAAAACATCTGGAAACAGACAAACATAAGTAAGGTTATGGAGCAGACACCAGAATAAAGCCAGTTTTCTACTGTTTACAGTGATATAAATCCAGTCCAAATCGGACTGAAATTGACTGAGTTAAAAGACAATATGTAACCGTCTGCACTACCATCGATGCATCGACGCTTGACACCCCATAGTGTGTCATTACCATCGATGCATCGATGTTTGACACTGGTAGGGTTAATGCCCTTAATATCACAATATTTTTATGTAGGCAAGACGATGCAGTAGCTGGTTGACTGATATTGAATTGTCCATTGTGAAATACTAGCTGTACTATCTGAATTTTCTTGTGTTAGAAATTTTAACATTTTGATTTATGTGCTAGCCATGTTTCGTACATTAAATATACGTACAGTGACCTTTATGTTACTGCTTTTTAGATGCGGTAGTGTTTAAAAAAATTTGAAATTGTATGGTCGAATTCCGTCAATTTATTTTTGCATTCGTATA